TGAGAAAACGTGGTGGGGAAACAAGAAGGACATAAATGGAATGTGAGAAGTGTGTGAATGGAGCTCTCTTTCCAGACCCAGGTTTCAGAATGTCCTAGAACCACATCTGCCAGAGGCTGGCAGAGCAACTGGGGCTGTCCTCACACCCTCCCCTCCCCTCCGCTGTGCAGCCTGAGCCAGCTCCCTCCTGGCCTTGCGGAGGGTCTCCGGGGTTCCCGCCGGCCCTTTACTGTTTTCCTCAGTTTGTTCAACTTCATGAGCATCGAGTCTATGCCAGGCATGGTTCTGGGTGCAGGGGAGACAGGAAGGAACAGACAGACATCTGGATATATATAATATTTATTTATAGAAATAAAACTTAGGATAGGTAAGATGACGACAAGGCCTATAGGGAAAGATAAAGTCCTGGAGGGGAGAGGGGATGGGCAGGGATGGGGGAGGCCGTGTCACCCAGTCTGACGTCAGCATTCCAAATTGTATATAGAGTCAGCACATTGTGCCCCATAAATGCAGTAATGTACACAGTTACGATTTAATAAAAAAAAAAAGAAGAAGAAAGGCTTTAATGAGAAGATTCCATCTGAGCAGACACCTAAAATAGGTTAGATAAGAAGAGGGCCCTGAGGACAGCAAGTACAAAGGAGCAGCTGCTACGAAGGCCGGAGAATGGAAAGCCCAGCTAAACAGCTGGGACAGCCGGCTGGCACGGGGAGAGGAGCAGAGGGACCGGGCAGGGCTGGTGAGGCAGGCCCCTGCATGCCTTTACCACGGAGGGTTCGAACGAGGGACCCCTTGCAGCAGGGCAGGGGGAGAGGCAGGGACCCAGTTAGGAGGCTTCAGGAGACAGCAGGAGTAGCTGGCCTGTGGGTGGTTGCTGCAGGTCTGGGCAGTGGGACTTGCTGACTGATTGGCTCTGAGGTGAGGAAAGTCAAGGAGGATGATCAGGTGTTCTGCTTGAGTCACTGGGAGGGTGGAAGTGCCACTTACTGAAATGAGGACAGGAGGATGGCCTGGGCTTTGCGGGGGAGGAAGAAGAGTGGGAGTTTGGATATGCTGAACCTTGGGAATCAGAAGCACACACGAAGTGTGTAAGGCCATGGGACTGGACCAGCTCACCCTGGCAGGAGCTGGGGGTGCAGGGACATCGAGGAGGCTGAGGAGGAGCAGGCAGGGGAAGGAAAGTGGGAGAAGGTGGTGTCCTGGGAACTCACTGGCAGAAGTGGGCAGCCAGATCAGTGGTGCTGAGAGGTGAGGAAAGAACTGAGCCTTGGCTGTAGATTCAGCACCGAGGAAGTCACTGGTGACTTTGGAAAGAGCTAGGTACTGAGGCTCTAGCCCCTGTTTCCTGAGCCAGGAGCACTGCTTCTCCAGCCAAAAGGAGACTGGAGTGTGGGCAGGGCAGGGTGATGGCTGTAGATTTGCAGGGCTCCTCCAGTCCAGGTGAAATGTATTCTGGGAGAGGACCATGTCCTTGGGTGGAGATATGGTCAGGAGGCCTGCCAGCACCCACTTTACCATTGAACACCCCACCCCCAAGCTGGAGCCTTCAGTTCCCTGCCCTGGCTCTGGGTGGAGCTCAGAAAGCACATCCGCCAGGGACCACCAGAAATGTGGAGTTATCAATGTTTCCAGCTGGGAAGGGATGTAGGGGTGCTGGTCCTCGTCCCTCACTCCACGGAAGTGGAAACAGGCCCAGGGAGAGAGGGGGTGCAGGCCAGAAATCTCCTTTTCAAGAGGCAGCAGACCACTCTGGGTACACTGTGGTGCTGTAGAGTCAAGCAAACCTGGTTCAAGCCACCTCCTAATCTCATTGATTGTGGACATGTTACTTAATATTCTGAGCCCCGTTTTGTCAGGTGAACAATGATTGTTGTATGATTAAATGAGATAAGCATGTTGCTTGGTTGTTATTCTATCTATGAAGCTAGAGTCTTTAGGTCCTTTAACTAACACCTAATTAGACCAGGGGCGGTGGCTCACACCTATGATCTCAGCATACTGGGAGGCTGTGGCAGGTGGATCCCTTGACCTTAGGAGTTGGACAGTAGCCTGAGCAAGAATGATACCCTGTCTCTACTAAAATGGAAAAGGCATTAAGAAGGGCTCCTATAGTCCCAGATACTAGGGAGGCTGAAGCAAGAGGATTGCTTGAGCCCAGGAATTTGAAGTTGCTGTTTTGATGACACCATACCACTCTACCCAAGGCCAGAGTGAGACTGTCTCAAAAACCAAACCAAACCAAACCAAAACAAACTAGTACCTAATTAAACATGGGAGTTAATTAGGGAACATGTTTTATTTCCAGGAGCCACTCAGCGTTGGAGGCATCCTTGGACTTTTCCCCAGAAGGCTAGGTTCTGAGAGGGATCAACTTTAGGTAATGAATTTTTCAGTCATCTCCAGATACTTGGCTTGGTCTGAGAAAGGTTTTGGACAACAGAGGGAAAGCTGAGACTTCCTGTTTGGCCCTCTGTGAGGCTCTCTGGGCAAGGCTGACACCACAGCTGGCATTGGGCAGCCCCTTCCCTGTGAGGTCTTCCTGGATGAGGTCAGATCTCTGTGGTGGATGGGTAAGGACAGGGTCTGCACTCTCACTCGGCCCCTCTGCTCTCTCTGCAGATAAGCAATGCCATCCTCATCATCTTTGTCAGCTACTTTGGCAGCCGGGTGCACCGTCCACGACTGATTGGCATCGGGGGTCTCCTGCTGGCTACAGGAGCCTTCATCCTCACCCTCCCACACTTCCTCTCAGAGCCCTACCAGTACACCTTGGCCAGTGG